AAAAAAAAAAAAAGAAGAAGAAGAAAAAGGAAATTTCGAAAATAAGAATGTACGATTACATATTCTGTTATTCATCAGACCCATGATGTCATCAAAAGTCACATAGACTCAGGAAAACTACCTGAGAGAATGAGAGTGAAAAAGTCAAATAATGACTTAATTTTATTATGAAAATAGTTTTGACCTGTGTGGACTTTAGAAAAGATTTTGGGACCTACCACAGGTTCCACTACTTTTTGAACTTTGTCCTAAAGGAATGAATTAATACTTCCCAAGAGATAAGAATGCAGTTCTTGGAACAGTCTTGGAATTTAGAGTTTAAAAGTCATGTATAGAGGCTGGTATTAGTGACTTGCTCAGGGTAGCAGGGGAATTGGTGGTAGGTCCCCTGTTAGACACCCTTCCCTGTCAAGCACCACTCGCTTTTTAATTTTCTGAGCCACTTTAAAATCTGAGCCAACAATTTTATCCCTAGAGCAGGCGAGTTCTTTAACGCTTTGTGAGGCCCCTTTATACTTTGTAAACAATCTGTGGACCCTTCCCCAAAAAACTGGCTTTTTTTGTGTGTAAAATTCAGCACAGCTTCAAGAGTATTCCGTGAAATCTCTCCGTCCGCCTTGGAAGCTCATTCACAGAAACCGAGCTTCAAACTCCATCTTAGAAACCTTCCTTTTCCCCCAAAGGACTTTAGTGTGGACTCCTTAAATAGAGGTTCAGCTTCAGGCAGAAGAAACCAAAAAATGCCCATCAGAGAATAAGACCGTTTTGTGTGTGTGGTGGTGAGATACACATAACCAAATTTATCATTTTAACCATTTTTAAGTGTACAGCTCAGTGGTATTAAGTATATTCACAATGTTGTACAGCCATTCACAGTATTTCCAGAACTTTTTCATCATTCTCAACAGAAACTCTGTAAACATAAACAGTAATTCCTCATTCTCCCTCCCGCTCCATTCCCTGGTAACTTCTAACCTACTTTCCATCTCTGGATACCTCATGTAAGTAGAATCTTTGTCTTTTTGTATCTGCCTTATTTCACTTAACATAATGTTTTCTTTTCTTTTTTTTTTTGAGATGCAGTCTCGCTCTATGTCCCAGGCTGGAGTGCAGTGGTGCAATCTCGGCTCACTGCAACCACTTCCACCTCCCAGGTTGAAGGGGTTCTCCTATCTCAGCCTACTGAGTAACTGGGATTACAGGCAAGCGCCACCACACCTGGCTGGCTAATTTTCGTATTTTTAGTAGAGATGGGGTTTCGCCATGTTGGTCAGATTGGTCTCAAACTCCTGACCTCAGGTAATCCACCCGCCTCGGCCTCCCAAAGTGCTGGGATTACAGGCGTGAGCCACCACACCTGGCCAAGTTGAATTCTTTTTTGTTGTTGCTGTTTTTGAGAAGGAGTTCTCGCTCTGTCGCCCAGGCTGGAGTGCAGTGGCGCAATCTCTGCTCACTGCCACCTCCCCCTCCCGGGTTCAAGCTATTTCTCATGTCTCAGCCTCCCGAGTGGCTAGGATTACAGGCACCTACCACCACCCCTGGCTAATTTTTGTATTTTTAGTAGAGATGGGGTTTCGCCATGTTGGTCAGATTGGTCTCAAACTCCTGACCTCAGGTAATCCACCCGCCTCGGCCTCCCAAAGTGCTGGGATTACAGGCCTGAGCCACCACACCTGGCCTAGCATAATGTTTTCAAAGTTCATCTATGCTATAACATTACCAGAATTTCCTTCTTTTAAAGGCTGGATAATATTCCATTGTGTGTATATAGCACATTTTGTTTGTTCATTCACCTGTTAATGGACATTGGGTTGTTTCTACCTTTTGGCTATAGTGAATCATGCTGCTGTGAACATTGGTGTACTAGTAGCTGTTTGAATCCCTGCTTTCAATTCATTTGGGTATATACCTAGCAGTGGAATTGTTGGCTCATCTGGTAATTCTATGTTTAACTTTCTGAGGAACCGAGAATAAGTTTTATGCCTTTAATCCCCTCTTAGACATTTCAGAAATTGGGAGAAGTGCCAAGTCTTACTGTGAGCACACAGCCAGGACCCAGCCCACACTGTCAGATATCGTGGTCACACTTGTTGAGATGGGTGAGTATACCTTCAGTTTCCAGTTCTTCCGTGCAACTGGAGAGAGAAGTTCCTAGGAGTCAGGCATGTCTGCTAAGTGTTCTTCGTTTCCCTCATGGTTCTCTTGATTTGCTTTGAGCTTGAGAGAGTTATCAAGAGAGATTCCTCTGAACACATCTAAGAGGCCTCATAATTCCCTGTTGGGGAATTCTGCCAGAGCTGCTTTTTGCGTGGCTGCAAGGTCATTGAGTTGAGAGTTTAAGCCATTTGTCCATAATACTACTATTCTTTCTGTATTCAATATCCAGTGGTCTGGGCAGTGATTTTTGTTTTCCTGTCTCTTAGGTTTCAATGTGGACACTCTCCCTGCCTATGCAAAACGGTCTCAGAGGATGGTCATCACTGCTCGTAAGTGACTTTGAACTGAGGTACCTAGCAATTTATCAATTAATGCTTGTGGAATGAAGTAATTGACTATGGTAGGGATTGGATTAGTAGCTACTTCCTTGTTGCAGGCTCTCTTCCAATGTTTGGGGCTACCTACAATATAATCTTTATTTGGGCTAGTGGGATTAGCATGTGAAATTCAGTCACCAAAAGGTAAACCATCTTTGAGATATTGCTATGTTTCTTGTGCTCTAGCCCCAGAAGGGCAAATGATGCTGCTTGGAAAAATGAAAGTTCTTGTTCTCCTTAGATTAAGGGTTGGTACATTGTGGACTATGGGCCAAACGCAGCCTGCCTCCTGTTTTTGTAAATAAAGTCTTATCGGAATGCACCCATATTTACTTATTATCTGTGGCTGTTTTCATGCTATATTAGCATAGTTTAGTTGTGGTAGAGACTGTACCACATGCAAAACCTAAAGTATTTATTATATGGCCCTTTACACAAAGTTTGATGACCTCTACTTTAAGTAAAACTGGGTGCCATAAGCTGAGTGGCGAGTAACCAGTTTGGGCTTGTAGGACCTGGAGAGAATTAACTGGATTTTTTTCTTTTCTTTTTTTTTTTGAGATGGAGTCTCGCTTTGCTGCCCAGACTGGAGTGCAGTGGCACAATCTCGGCTGACTACTGCAACCTCTGTCTCCCAGGTTCAAGCTGTTCTGCCTCAGCCTCCCAAGTAGCTGGGATTACAGGTGCCCGCCACCACACCCGGCTAACTTTTACATTTTTAGTAGAGGCAGGGTTTTACCATGTTGGACAGGCTGGTCTTGATCTCCTGACCGCGAGTGATCTGCCCACCTCAGTCTCCCAAAGTGCTGGGATTACAGGCGTGAGCCACCGCACCCGGCCTGGATTTTTTCTTTAAAGTCACTTTTTTCATGTTGGTATTTTTTTAAAAAACTCCCTCTCAATATATAGCAGTGGAAGGTGCCATTTTCAATCCCCTCTTGTTATCATTAAGCTCACACTTACTGTCCCCAGGTCATTGTTCCTTTTTGTTATCCAAGGTCTGTGAAAAGAGAACCAGCAGCCCATGTAACTTGCGTAGCTCCTCAGCATGCTGTTTTGCGTAGTTACTGTGGCCATAGCCATCCACCTCTACCTAAGAGGCTTGTGGGCAGATTGTTGTCAAAGGGAATGTCAACCAAGATTAGCCAGCAGGGCTGGGCATTGTATGCCATCAAAGACTGTTTATGGATTGAAATACAAAATGCAACTTGTTTAGAAAATTGAGGTCTGGCATTTTTTTGAGAAAATGAAGCTTTGGGGAGAGACCATAATCTGTAGAAATCAGGGTCTTGGGTGGAGGAGTAATCAGTTGTGACTCTGTTGCAGCTCCGGTGACCAATCAGCCAGTGACCCCCAAGGCTCTTACTGCAGGGCAGAACCGACCCCACCCGCCGCACATCCCCAGCCATTTTCCTGAGTTCCCTGATCCCCACACCTACATCAAAACTCCGGTGAGTGTTGAAGCCACACTGGGGCTGTGTGTGGTGTAAAGCACGGAGTCAGTTTCTACCGACTGTCATGCGGCAGAGTCCAGTCCAAAAGTTTGTTGATGAAAGGGTGGTTCAAAACTCAGCATGTGGCCAGGCACGTTGGGCTCACACCTGTAATCCCAGCATTTTAGGAGGCCGAGGCAGGAAGATCACTTGAGCCCAGCAGTTCAAGACCAACCTGGGCGGCAGAGCAAGACCCTGTCTCATTTGAAAAATAAAGAAAGAAAGAAAAAAAAGAATTCAGATTATCTTTCCTCATTGAGAAACAATTTGGCAAATGAGAATTATGTTCTCAAGTTTACCAGCTAAAGTGTAATTAACAAAGAAATTGAAGCTGACCCCAGTATTGCCTGTCCTACTGAAACACAAAAGTACATAGCCACATAGGAACAAGACTGAAAAGGTATTCCACTAAATGTTCATAGTAATTTTTGGTTGAGATTTTAGGTAATTTTGTTTTGTGTTTACTTTTCTGAGTTTTCCAAATTTTCCATAATAGGAAAATTATTTTTTCAATTGAGGGAAAAGTTACTTTAAAAATATTTAGTGCCGGGCGCGGTGGCTCAAGCCTGTAATCCCAGCACTTTGGGAGGCCGAGACGGGCGGATCACGAGGTCAGGAGATCGAGACCATCCTGGCTAACACGGTGAAACCCCGTCTCTACTAAAAATACAAAAAAAAACTAGCCGGGCAAGGTGGCGAGCGCCTGTAGTCCCAGCTACTCCGGAGGCTGAGGCAGGAGAATGGCGTGAACCCGGGAGGCGGAGCTTGCAGTGAGCTGAGATCCGGCCACTGCACTCCAGACCGGGCTACAGAGCAAGACTCCGTCTCAAAAAAAAAAAAAAAAAAAAAAATTATTTAGTAACGGCCAGGAGCAGTGGCTCATGCCTTTAATCCCAACACTTTGGAAGGTCGAGGCAGATGGATCACCTGAGGTCAGGAATTCGAGACCAGCCTGGCCAACACAGTGAAACCCTGTCTCCACTAAAATTACAAAAATTAGCTGTGCGTGGTAGCATATACCTGTAGTTCCAGCTACTCAGGAGGCTGAGGCAGGAGAATCAAACCTGGAAGGCAGAAGTTGCAGTGAGCTGAGATTGCACCACTGCACTCCAGCCTAGGCAACAGAGCAAGACTCTGTCTCAAAAATAAATAAGTAAAAATTAGTAATGATAATGAAATGGAACTTATCACTCTGAGCTCTAGGTCTAAACGAGAAGAAGATGAGTTATCCTCTGTGGTTTGAATGTGTTCTAATTTGCCTGAATGGCAGTTTTACCTTCGGTTGGGAAGGTGTTCTCCCACACTTCCTTTGCTTCTGCCTCCATACCATATAGTGATGGCCATCATGCGGGCTGCTGCGGCAAGCCCTCACGTCCTCTGGACATTTCTCCACACCTCAGGGTGGGGGAGAGGGGAGTAGTAGCTACCCAGCTAATGCAACATAGCCCTTGCCCTTGCCCTTGATCAGATCTCTCTATTAGTTCCCTGGGCTGCTGTAACAAGGTGCCACAAACCAGGTGACTTAGAACAACAGAAATTTATTGTCTCACCGTTCTGGAGGCTAGAAGTCTAAAATTAAGGTATCATGCTCCCTCTGAAACCTGTAGAGGAGTCCCTCCTTGCATCTTCCTAGATTCTGGTGGTTGGCCAGCATTCTTTGGCGTTTCTTGGCTCATAGGTGCATCACTCCAGCTTTCTGTCTTCACATGGCATTCTTTTTTGTGTGTGGTAGCAGGGGCAGCGGGGGAGACTGGAGTTTTATTATTACTCAAATCAGTCTTCCTGAGCATGCGGGGAGCAGAGTTTTTAAGGATAATGTGGTAGGTCGGGGGAAGCCAGTGAGCCAGGAGTGCTGATTGGTCAGAGATGAAGTCATAGGGACTCAGGGCCGGGCAAGGTGGCTCGTGCCTGTAATCCCAGCACTTTGGGAGGCCGAGGCGGGGGGATCGAGGTCAGGAGATCGAGACCATCCTGGCTAACACGGTGAAACCCCGTCTCTACTAAAAATACAAAAAATTAGCCGGGCATGGTGGCAGGTGCCTGTAGTCCCAGCTACTCGGGAGGCTAAGGCAGGAGAATAGCATGAACCCGGGAGGCAGAGCTCGCAGTGAGCCAAGATTGTGCCACTGCACTCCAGCCTGGGCAACAGAGCAAGACTCCGTCTCAAGGGAAAAAAAAAAAAAAGAAAATCATAGGGCCGCAGAGCTGTCTTTTGCACTGAGTCAGTTCCTGGGTGGGAGCCACAAGATCAGATGAGCCAGTTTATGGATCTGGGTGGGGGCAGCTGATTCATCAAGTCCAAGATACCTCAAGCACTGATCTTAGGAACAGTTTAGGGAGGGTCAGAATCTTGTAGCCTCCAGCTGCATGACTTCTAAACCATAATTTCTAATCTTGTGGCTAATGTTAGTCCTACAAAGGCAATCTAGTCTCCAGGCAAGATGGAGGTCTGCTTTGGGTAAAGGAGTGTCTTTGTTTAACTCTAAACTAAGTTTCTCCCAAAGTTAGTTTAGCCTACGCCCAGGAATGAACAAGGACAACTTGGAGGGTAGAAGCAAGATGGAGTCAGTTAAGTTAGATTTCTTTCACTGTCTCGTCATAATTTTGTGAAGGTGGTTTCAGTCCTTCTCTTTGGGTTTTAATAACACCTTAATCTTAAAGTGTAGGCTATGAAGATGGGAAAAGGCCATCGATTGCTCTGGCTTCTTCCTGCTGACAGGGGACATTGTGGGAATGGGAGTGAACCCCAAGGTGAGAAGAGTGGAACTGGTTTGCAACTGTCTGAGTGTACTCACGCAGGCCTGGCTGGGCGTTCATGGTTTGCATGGCACAAACATTAGTACTCTATAGTTTTACTACAGTGTTTAAGTGAAACAGCCCACTATAAGGTAAATAACGAGTCCTTGGATGAGGAGTACAATTCCCAATTTTAAAAACAAAGATTTGAAAGCACTAGTCTGGGGACTTCTAACCCACAAAGAATTTATAATTTAGTCTAAACTGCAGAAAAAACGCCGAGAACAGCTAACAACAGTGTACTGTAGTTTTTCTTTTGAAGCATAATTTTTCTCTCTCCAGTCCCCATTTTTATTAAAAACAAATCATGATACAATGATTTGTTTACAAAATAAACTTTAGTCTTACTGTACTTGGCCCCATTATTTGCATAAAGTGCAGCAAGAATAATTATTTTTCACTTAGACTTTTTAAATTGGCTTTGATAGAACTCTGTTCCATGAAGAATCTCAGATAAGACTTTTTCAAAGCAAGCCCAGCCATGGGTTTGTACCCTCAGATACCTATGAGTTGGGCAAATTTCTCTCCTCTTGAGGTCCCAAGATAGCTTGGAGTTCCTGAACCTGTTTGAAAGTGACATTCTTTACTTACCACAGGTCAGGAACCTTGTACAGGGACTCTGTGTGGACAGGGTATAAGGCCAGATTCCCCAGTGGGCTTTAATTGGCTATATAAGTCATCTTTCATTCTTTAAAGAAAGCATGCCATTCCAGTCAAAGCCTTGGTAAAATAACCAATTTCTCCAACTGTGTCCTGTTACAAAAGAAAACAGATTCTTATTGCACTTTTGCAATTAGCTATACTGCCATAAATTGAGAAATATTAATAGTTTCCAAATTCTGGAGAAATCAGGTAGAGAGGAACAATATGCTCCAAATTTTGTTCACAGGAGTTTATTTTACCCCCGTATTAAAAGTTGCCAATAGTTCTAAAGAAATAATTTATCTTGACTCTGAAAACAAGGTTTAGCAATGTTTAAGACATTAGCTCTCCATGAGAGTCCTAGAAGTTTGGTTTTTCCCTCTATTCCAATAGCACAATTGTTGTTGTTGTTTTTTTGAGACGGTGTCATGCTCTGTTGCCCAGGCTGGAGTACAGCAGCGCGATCTCAGCTCACTGCAAGCTCCGCCTCCCGGGTTCACGCCATTCCTCTACCTCAGGCTCCCAAGTAGCTGGGATTACAGGCGCCCGCCACCACGCCTGGCTAATTTTTTGTATTTTTAGTAGAGACGGGGTTTCACCGTGTTAGCCAGGATGGTCTTGATCTCCTGACCTCATGATCCGCCCACCCCGGCCTCCCAAAGTACTGGGATTACAGGCGTGAACCATTGTGCCCAGCTTTCAATAGCACAATTTTTAAAGTTATCTGAGACCTGAACTTAGAGTCCTATATTTGATTATAAACTACCTTTTGAAAAGGACCAAAGCAAGATAAAATGTCTGTGGATGACAAAAGTCTGTAGCCACTATTAAAGCTACAATTGGCTAGAAATTTTGGTTACTTCTGTGGCATACAACAATTTTACATAACAATTATAATTATTAACATACAGTAAATTATATCAACATTATAGAAGTTTCCCATAATTTTGGACACATAACATATTTATACAAATACAGTCTAAACCAAACGCCATTCACTCTTCTATTTGAAAGTTTTTCCTGTATTCTAATGTCACAATCTCCGGAGTTATTAATCAGAAACCTGCATTTATGAGCACCTGTTAAATTTTATAGCCGATTATAAAACTATCTTTTAAAGAGGATCAAAATGAGACAACAATTGTCTGTGTATGACAAAAACATTTTAGGGCAGCAACAGTTAAAGACACAATTGGCAAGGAAATTTGTTACCTTTGTGGCACCCAGTCTGTTAACATAATAATTGTAGTTATTACTGATCGCATACACTAAGTCATATTAGAATTATACAAGTTTTATGTAATTTTGAAACATATACCAATAACATAGTTATACAAATATAGACCAAAGAAAGCAAAACACCGTTTCGTATTTGACAATGCTTCCTGTATGATTTTTTTATGAGATAAGCCAAATGTCATTTTTGGGCTTTAGAGGACATAATATCTAAAGTGTTAGGTTAGAAAGAGACATAATTTGTAATTGGATTTTGGAAAGTTTGTCAAATATCAAAGGTTTAAAACACTGGATATCACAAAATAGAATCCCAGGTCACCATAAGTCATTCGTTTGGCCAAAATGATAACTCCAAACAATTTTTTTAAAAAGAAAAATCTTTACTCTGATAGAGGAGACCTAGCTTTCCAAACAAGACTCAATGAAGATAGCATGAGGCCAGCTGAATCTCTCTCTCCTCTCTCTCTCCTCTTTTTTTTCCCTGCCATTTACCCAAAGGAGAAAAGAAAACCCTTTCATTATCTTTTAACATTACATAAAAATCATCTTCAAAAGAGAAAAACAAATTTCATATTTGCATTAGTGCATCTTTAATGTTAGCTAGTTTTTTAAATAAAATTTTATATCTCTACCCAGTTTTGATGAGTTTGACCATACAGTAAGGTTTTCATAAGCTTTTTAGAATTTTCCTTTACAATTTTCCATCAAACAGCAGATCAATTTTCTAAGAAAACCCCATTATTCAGACACATGGGCCCAGATTCTGGCCCCACATCAGTATGATTTTAATGTTTTAACCTACAGAAAAAAGCTAAATAATTTCATTTAAATCTTAGCCAACTTGTTGGTACCCACAGAATTTTTACAAGATCAACCCTTTACAAACCCTTTTCACTTTGCTTAAACCTTCAGTTTTGGTTCTGTTACTCTTTTAGGTTAAGACAATCTTTTTTTTTTTTGAGACGGAGTCTTGCTCTGTCACCCAGACTCCTACTTCCAAATAAGGTCATATTGTGAGGTACTAGGACATATCAAAAATGTTCTTTGTGGGGACACAGTTCAACCCATAACATTCTTTAACTTTAACAGATAGGGATATAGTGTATCCGTATCTGTAAAAAAATTTTTTTGAGACAGGGTCTTACTTTGTCGCCCAGGCTGCTGGAGTGCAATGGGGCAATCTCAGCTCACCACAGCTTCGACCTCCTAGACTCAAGTGATCCTCCCGCCTCAACCTCCCGAGTAGCTGGGACTACAGCGGTGCACCACCATGCCCAGCTAATTTTTGTATCTTCTGTAGAGACAGGGTTTCACCATGTTGCCCAGGCTGGTCTCAGATTCCTGGGTGCAAGCAATTTGCCCAGGCATGGGTACATACTCCAGTATATGTTTGCTTATTTATGTGAATATTATAATGTAACATTGTGTGAAATAATGTACATTAAAAGATAATCTTACCCCTGTAAAATGTTTAGGAAACCTAAAACCTTTTCTAGTGGGAGCGATTGCCTCTGCTTTTTTTTTTTTTTTTGAGACGGAGTCTCGCTCTATCACCCAGGCTGGAGTGCAGTGGCGCTTCTCGGCTCACTACAAGCTCTGCCTCCCGGGTTCACGCCATTCTCCTGCCTCACCCTCCTGAGTAGCTGGGACTACAGGCACCCGCCATCGCGCCCGGCTAATTTTTTTACATTTTTAGTAGAGACGGGGTTTCATCGTGGAAGCCAGGATGGCCTCGATCTCCTGACCTTGTGATCTGCCCTCCTCGGCCTCCCAAAGTGCTGGGATTACAGGCATGAGCCACCGCGCCCAGCTGCCTCTGCTTTTTATTTTTTGAAATCATAGGTTTTTTTTGTTTATTTGTTTGTTTTGTTGTTGTTATTTTATAGAGATGGGGAGAGGTTTTTTGTCTTTCTGTGGTGCCCAAGCTGGCCTTGAACTCCTAGCCTTAAGCAGCCTTTGCACCTTGGCCTCCTAGAGTGCTGGAATTACAGGCATGCACCACTGCACTCAGTCTTTTTTTAGAGGTGGAGTTCTTGCTCTGTTGCCCAGGCTGGAGTGCAGTGGTGTAATCATGGCACTACAGCTTTGAACTCCCAGGCTCAAGCAATCCTCCCACCTCAGCCTGCAGAATAGCTAGGACCACAAGCGTGTGTTACCATGCTAGCCTAGAAATCTTGGTTTAATACTTGATGAAATAATAAGTTGGAGGTCAGATTCTAAGATTAGTTTATTTTGATACTTTAATGGCTCTCATAGTTGAAGATGGTACATAACAAAGATATGTAACATCATTGGCTGCTCTTAATAAACCATAAAACTTATTTTTTTATTCTCAGTTACTCATTATTCAAAGAATTTTGTTGCAAATTTTCTATTAAATTTCTAATTTATTGAGTGCCAAAAGTTGTCTTAGGAATAATTACAAGATTTTGCATTTTAATGTTTTTAACAAGTACAATATGTTCAAAATCCACTCATTTTAATTTTGGGAAGTTTTGGTTTTTTGGGGGGAGGGGAGGGGCGGGCACAGAGTTTGTCTCAGTCCCCCAGGCTGGAGTGCAGTGGTATGATCTCGGCTCATTGCAACCTCCGTCTCCCAGGTTCAAGCCATCTCATGTCTCAGCCTCCCCCGAGTAGCTGGAATTACAAGTGCCCGCCACCATGCCTGGCTAATTTTTGTATTTTTGGTAGAGACGGGGTTTAGCCATGTTGACCAGGCTAGTCTCAAACTCCTGACCTCAGGTGATCCACCTGCCTCGGCCTCCCAAAATGCTGGGATTACAGGTGTGAGCCACCATACCCAGCCTTTGGGGAAGATTTTTAACATGTCAGAAAATTCTGTTTCTTTGTTTAAGTATAGATAGGAGAACTGTATAGGTGACACACTTGAACTGATGGTGACAACAAAGAAACATTTCTAGGTGCCTCCTTTGAAAATACTATCTCCATATCATGAAGAGTAGTTACTTTATTGGTTGTTGTTAAAATGTCACCATTGCCATTATCAATTAAAATATTTTCCGGCCGGGTGCAGTGACTCACACCTGTAATCACAGCACTTTGGGAGGCCAAGGTGGGTGGATCATCTGAGGTCAGGAGTTCAAGACCAGCCTGGCCAACATGATGAAACCCCATCTCTACTAAAAATGCAAAAATTAGCTGGGCGTGGTGGCATGTGCCTGTAGTCCCAGCTACTCAGGAGTCTGAGGCAGGAGAATCACTTGAACCCAGGAGGTGGAGGTTGTAGTGAGCCGAGATTGCGCCACTGCACTCCAGCCTGGGTGACAGAGCAAGACTCTGTCTCCAAAAAATAAAAATAATAAAGTAAAATGTTTTGGCTCATTTCTCATTCTGATCTCAATTGTTTTCATTCCATAACTTGATTGCCAACAAGCTCATAATTAGGAGGAAGAGTGGCAGCCTGCCATTTTCTTGGTCACTTGCACTGTATAGTAAGATCTTTAGCCTCTTTCTTTGAGGGAATCTTTTTGGAACGACGTATCCATATTGTGAGGATTTTTTTTTTTTTTTTTTTGAGATGGAGTCTCACTCTCCCAGGCTGGAGTGCAATGGTGCGATCTCGGCTCGCTGCAACCTCCACCTCCCGGGTTCAAGTGATTCTCCTGCCTCAGCCTGCCAAGTAGCTGGGACTACAGGCACACGCCACCACACCCAGCTCATTTTTGTATTTTTAGTGGAGATGGGGTTTCACCGTGTTGGCCAGGGTGGGTGAGGATTGATTTAATAAGATGGGATGGTATAATCCATAAATCCTCATAGGCAGCCACTCCCATACTGCAGGAGGTCACATTACGCTGATGGAACCTGTGGTCCCCGTCAGGGCTTCCCTGGGGACACTCCCACTCTTTCTTTAGGATGCGTCTCTTAGACCTGAGACCATCTGTCATGGGAGCTGAATGAAGGCCCCAGGACAATCTCTACAGTAAATATTTGTACATTTCTTAATTTTTCTTTTTTTTTGAAATGGAGTCTCGCTCTGTCACCCAGGCTGGAGTGCAGTGGTGTGATCTTGGCTCACCACAACCTCTGCCTCCCAAGTTCAAGCGATTCTCCTACCTCAGCCTCCCAAGTAGTTGGGATTACAGGCGCCTGCCACCACGCCTGGCTACTGTTTTTTATTTTTAGTAAAGATAGGGTTTCACCATCTTGGCCAGGCTGGTCTCAAACTCCTGACCTCATGATCCACCCACCTCGGCCTCCCAAAGTGCTAGGATTACAGGTGTGAGCCACCATGCCTGGCCTTAATTTTTAATTAGAAATACATATTAATGTAGTTACATTGTTCGTCCGCCTTTCTACTGTGCTTTGGTGATCTTGGCTCTAACTAATGGTATTGAGTCATTTTATTTTATTTTATTTCATTTTATTTATTTGTTTTTGAGACAGAGTCTCGCTCCTGTTGCCCAGGCTGGAGTGCAATGATGCAATCTTGGCTCATTGCAACCTCCACCTCCCGGGTTCAAGCCATTCTCCTGCCTTAGCCTCCTAAGTAGCTGGGATTACAGGTGCACACCACCACACCCAGCTAATTTTTGTATTTTTAGTAGAGACGGGGTTTTGTTATGTTGGCCAGGCTGGTCTCGAACTCCTGACCTCAGGTGATCCACCAGCCTCAGCCTCCCAAAGTGCTGGGATTATAGGCGTGAGCCACCGTGCCTGGCCTGGTATTGGGTCATTTTAGAGAATAGGGCATAGCAACAGCAAGCCAGGGAGCTGATGAAAGCAGAATGATACTTCGGCATCACTTCAGTGTCTTTGCTATTCTGTTTGTAGACGTACCGTGAGCCCGTGTCAGACTACCAGGTCCTGCGGGAGAAGGCTGCATCCCAGCGGCGTGATGTGGAGCGGGCACTTACCCGTTTCATGGCCAAGACAGGCGAGACTCAGAGTCTTTTCAAAGATGACGTCAGCACATTTCCATGTGAGAGTTGCCCCGCTGTGTGGACCCTGTCTTATTTAAATACTCACACTATCTTTTTTTTCTCTCAGCATGGTAGGAAGAAACAAATAAGCTTTTGTCCTTCCCTTGGGTACAGCTTGCCCCTCAGATTTCTGGCTCCTTTCCCCAGATCTTAAGAGTCTGTCCTTAACTGACAGCTCCAGGACAGTAATGGCCTCTGTTGGGACTGGCCGCTTGAGGTCCATTGAGTTACCTTGAGGTGGCCTAGGCCTAGGCATCAGAGTCACTCAGTGGCAGCCCAGGTAGTAGAAGGAACACTGGCATCAGGGGCCAGTTGCCCATCATGATATTCCCTCATAGGTCCCATCTCATTTAAGTTGGCATCTCGGCACTGTTTGGCCATGTTGACCAAGCTACTTCATTTCCATAGACCTCAGTTTTTACAAATGTGAGTGAGGGAGGTTGGTTTAGGCGATTCCTTCATTCAGCAAGCTCCTGTGGAATGCCTGCTGTGTGCCTGGCTCTGGAATAACAGCAGCTGCCAGTTATTAAGTGCCAGATACTGTGCCGATCACTTCCCATACATTATCTCATTAAATCCTCTTGTGAGCCTCTGGAACTGATATATCACTACCTTCATAGGAACCCTTCAATGAGGCATAAGAGAAATGAAGTCACTTCCTCAAGGAGCATGGCTAGTAGATAGCATTCAAACCTAGCTCTTACTGCCGGACCCCACATCTGACGCACAGTAAAAAATAATTCTGGAGTTTTTATGGGTAGATTCTGAAGTCATACTGCCTTAGAATCCCATTCTGCCATTTTTTAAGTTTTTTTTTTGAGACAGAGTCTTGCTCTGTCACCCAGGCTGGAATGCAGTGGCGCGATCTCTGCTCACTGCAACCTCGGCCTCCCAGGTTCAAACGATTTTTCTGCTTCAAGTAACTGAGACTACAGGCATTAGCCACCAACCCGGCTAATTTTTTGTATTTTTAGTAGAGACGGGGTTTCACCCAGTTGGCCAGGCTGGTCTTGAACTCCTGAGCTCAAGTGATCCACCTACCTCAGCCTCCCAAGGTGCTGGGATTATAGGCATGAGCCACCACGCCCGGCCAATTCTAGAGCATTTTCTAACAGTCACATTCTACCATAGAAGTATACACGGAGACTTTTTCTTTTCGTGTTTTGAGACAGGATCTCACTCTGTCACCTAGTCTTGAGTACAGTGGCACAAACACAGCTAACTGCAGCCTGGACCTCCTGGACTCAAGTCTCCCACCTCAGCCTCCCTAGTAGCTGGGACTACAGGCATGCACTATTATACCTGGCTAATTTTATTTTTCCTAGAGACGGGATTTCACCATGTTGCCCAGGCTGGTCTCAAACTCCTGGGCTCAAGCAGTCCTCCTGCCTCAGCCTCCAAAAGTGCTAGGATTATAGGCATGAGCCACCACACCTGGCCTTCTTTCTTTTAATGTTAATTTTAAATCAATTTCTTCCTCTCATCCTCATTGCTTTTTGGAACTCTCATTTACCAGAGTGTCTTACAGCTCAGTGGACATGCATATATGCAGAGTGCTCAAATCCAGCCTTTGGACTTGAGTCCTTCAGGGTGAAGGAATCAATATTCCTGCTCTGGAAATGAAGCTTAGAGGGGTTTAACTGACCTTGGGTGCAAGATCTCAAAACTCACGTGTTGCTAGGATTCTATCTATAGCCCCATTTCAATCTTATCTCAGTTGTACTTGGCAAAAAAGTAGATTCTGAAGTCATACTGCCTGAGTTAGAATCCCATTCTGCCATTTTCAGCATGCTTGGGAAAGTCATTTCACCTCTCTGTGCCTAATCGTACTTAATAGGATGGGAGCAAGGATGAAAGATAACATGAGTAAAGACCATAGGACATTGCCTGGCCTGTTGCGTAAGTACTTGGAGCGAGTTAGCCAGTATTATCTTCTGGTGCTGCTCACTGATGTGAGGCTCTAGGACGCTAAGCCAGCTGTGAGGTGTCTGTGACAGTGGACTCATGCCTCTCTTCCAATTCGCCAGTGATTGCTGCCAGACCTTTCACCATCCCCTACCTGACAGCTCTTCTTCCATCTGAACTGGAGATGCAACAGATGGAAGAGACAGATTCCTCGGAGCAGGATGAACAGACAGACACGGAGAACCTTGCTCTTCATATCAGCATGGTGGGTTCCACCTTCTGCCAACCTCAGAGTATCCCCCAAACTATCCCGCCCTGCCCTCAGTCTGTCACCCTGGGACCTGGACATGATCGACCTTAGGTCTCTGACTTTATATTAGGGGCCTGCCTGAGGGCTTGTGTGATGATCCAGGTGCAACCTGATCTACTTAGAGACACATCCGTGCCCTGGGGATTCACTCATTCATTCAACAAATACAGTTCCAGGTGCTGGGGAATTAGTAGGAAACCAAATAAACAAAATTCCATGTCCTCATGGGGCTAATGAAAAAATAATAAATGAAATAGGAAGTGGGGATGGGGATGGGAGGGATGCAGTATTAGGTAGGGTGACTGAGAAGGGGACATTTGAGTAAAGACCTGAAGGGAACAAGGCATGGGCATGTCTAGGGGTGAAGCCTTTCTAAGCAGCGGGTGCAGCAGGTGCAAAGGCCCTGAGGCGGGAGCTCCCCTGTTGTATTGAAGAACAGCAAGGACATCAGGGTGGCTAGAGTGGCGTGAACAAGAGGGAGAACAGTAGGGGATGAGGTCCGAGAGAGCCCACGGGGAGTCGGACCTTACAGGGTCTTAAAGGTTAGATTAGACACTTTGGCATTTACTCATTGAGATGGAGCCACTGGAGATATTGAGCAGAGGAGGGTCAGGATCTGATGTAGGTTTGCTAATAGGGTCAGTCAGGTAGCTGTGCTGAGGATGGGCTATAGAGAGCAGGCAGAAGCAGGGAGACCAGTTAGGATGCTGTCACAGTAAACTGAGAGATGGTAGGAGGAGCAAAAATATGGAGATGTGGTCACCTAGGTTATTTGGTCAGATTCTAGATCACTTTCAGAGCAGAGCCAGTTGACAGAGTAGATATGAGAGAGAGTTAAAGAAAACTGTAAGGGTTTTTTTGCCTGAATAATAGGAAAGATGGAATTGCCTTCAGCCAAGATGGGAACAGCCACCGGGTGGAACAGGTGTGTGGGGGAAGTCAGGAGTTGATGTTCGTGTCTTAAATGTAGATGTGTTAAGTTTGAGATGCTTGTTAGACATCAGGTGGTGATGTCCGGTGGAGAGTTGGATATATAAGTTGGAGTTTGAGGAGCAGTTAGGGCAGGAGATGCATATTTGGGAGCCAGCAGTCTGTAGGTCATGTCTAAAACCATGAGCGTGGATGAGCTCTTCCAGGGATGAGTGAGGATAAGAAGAGGAGGCACATTGAGCCCTGGAGCTGCTGCTATGTGTAGAGCTTGAAGAGATGAGAAGAACCAGCATGGAGGTGGGAGGAGATCCGGAAGAGGGCTGTGTCCTGAAGGCCAAGGGAAGTAAGTGTTTCAGGGAGAAAAGAGCAATTAGCTGTGTCCCAAGCTGCAGGTGGCTCCAATGGTAGGAGGACTGAGAATTCAACCATTAGATTTGGCAGTGTGGGTGCCATTTGTGACCTTGATGAGAACCATTTCAGTAAGAATGACAGCAAAGACCTGGAGTAAATTCAGAGAGAATGGGAGGAGAGAAGAGGAGTCAGTGAGTATAGACTTGTGCTGTCCTTTACAGCAGCCACTAGCCACATGTGGGTATTTAAATTAATTAAATAAAACTAAAAATCAATTTCTTAATCTCACTAGCCACATTTCAAGTATCTAATAGCCTCACATGGCCAGTGGCTGCTCTACTGGACAGTGCAGATACTGAACATTTCCATTGGCACAGAAAGTCGTGTGGTGTTCCCTGCAGTACAGGGAAGGAGAATGGTGGAGTGGTAACTAAAAAGGGGAAAATGAAGGAATTAAGAGAGGCGTTTTATGTTTTTGTTTTTTAAGATAAAAGAACATGTTTGTGTGCTGCCGGGAATAATCTGGTCAAAAGGGAAAATGCATACGGGAAAAAAAGAAACGTCTGGGAATGATGTTGTTTGGTAGGGGAGAGGGGATGGGCCCGTGACCAAATGGAGGGACTAGCCTTCTTCTGGACATTTCATACCCAGGATAGGAGACGGAACATGTGGGTTCAGAGACAAAGGTGGGCAAGGAGATGTTCTAGTCCTGGCTTGTTTTAGGGAATACTTTCTTTTCTGCTCACCGGTGTGTCACACTCAGCAAGTTAAAGGATAAGAGCCCCCTCTTGTTCCTGCACCCTTGGAGAAAGTGCGAAGTACAATTACAGAACCACCAGAAGCTCGAATGCCTTCAAGGCTAATAGGGTTATATAGCCAGTTTACCATATTCAACCATCCTTTAAAATCAGCACTAGCTTGGATGCCTTAGTGGCTGTAGTTGGACTGAGCATCTCTCATGTTCTCTAAGATGAGGTGCACCAAGTGGCAGCCAGCCACTCTGGTTTGCTAGTGGAATATGCCTGTGCCATCTGTATTTGCAGAAGATCTTATTTGCTTAGACATCCTTTTTTTTTTTTTTTTTTTTTCCCAGACAGAGTCTCGCTCTGTCACCCAGGCTGTAGTGCAGTGGCAAGATCTCGGCTCACTGCAACCTCCGCCTCCCGGGTTCAAGCGATTCTTCTGCCTCAGCCTCCTGAGTAGCTGGGATTACAGGCACGCGCCACCATGCCCGGCTAATTTTTGTATTTTTAGTGGAGACAGGGTTTCACCACGTTGGTCAGGCTGGTCTCGAACTCCTGACGTCATGATCCACCCGCCTTGGCCTCCCAAAGTGCTGGGATTAGAGGCATGAGCCACCACGCCCGGCCTGGACATACTTTTTTTTTTTTTTTCCTAAATGTTGAATTATTCCTTTCAGAATTAGGGCTGGGAGCCCATGGCTTTAAATAAAGCAGAGGAAATTGTTATTGTATGCTTCTGTTAATTTGGGCTGAGATACGGTGATTGGGTCATGGACTAAGTTGAGGTTCACCTTATGAGAAAGGAGTCATGTAAACATCATACCTTTGTAAGTACAATATAGTTGAAGGGCCTGGACATGCATTCACTGACAGTCCTGTAGTGATGTGAGGTCATGGTGGTAATTGAACCTAAAGAATATCAGCGACTGCCTGAGGACTCTTGAATACCACGAGGCCAAGCCAGGGTTGCAGAGAGCAGGGGTGTAGGAAGGCCTGAGTCTTAGAGTCAAACTTGCCTAGCTTTAAATCCAGACTGTGCTGCTTGCCACGTGTGTGACTGTGATTGCGTTACTTAACACCTTAGTCTATTTCCTTGTAAGTAGAAACAGGAACACCTACCTCAAGGGACAGGGGGAGCTTGAGGTAGAGCTGGTATCTATCAGGTGCCTGGCACGTGGCAGCTCCTGGCACACACTGCTCCCTCCCCTGCTTTTTTAGGCTATATAACCTAAAAATAAAATAAAATGACTTCAAGACAAAGATTCTAGCGACAATTTACTAGTCAGCTGGACCTAATGTTTTTTTGTTAGACTAGGAAATACAATCATATGTTTCAAAATGCAGAGTGTGCAAAAAGATGTATGGTGACAATCCCTCCCATCCTGTTCCCTGTTACCCACTTTCCCTCCCACAGGGCAACTGTCTCACCAGCCTCTTGTGTATCCTTCTAGAGACTTTTGTTTTTTAATTGTTATTTTGAACTGAAACAGCAGATCACAAACTGTTCTCTTCTTGCTTTCTCCCTGGCTGTATCTTGGTCATTCCACAACTATAAGGGAGGAGCTGCATCGTTCCTCACAGCTGCTTTATCTTCCATTGTGTGGCTGTAACCATTTAATTTATCTAGTCCCTCATGACCACTTAGGTTGTTTTCTGTGTTTAGCATTTACAGACATTGTTATAGCGAAGTAAATAACTGGTATTTTAAATTATTCTTTTATCTCTTGATGACAGTGGACCTCTCAAGGTCTGTTGTTAGGCAGCACGTTATTTAACCTGGTTCTAGTTTCTCTTGAACATAAAGGAGCTATTCATTTTAAATTCATGTATAATAGATTCTTTTCTCACACATTTGAACCGGCTGCTTTCTGCAGCTGACCCAAATATCTAAACTTTTACTCTCTTATGAAAAATGTACCAGTCACTCACTCAACCGGTGTTTGTTTAGCACCTAGTATGTGCCAGATACTATTCTGGCTGCTTGGGATAAAGCAGTGAGAAAAACAAAGAAAACCTCTGCCTTTTAGGAACGTCTGTTTGGCTGTGGGAGAATGACAGTAAACATAATATATGAATAAATCATTGCATAGTATATCAGAAATGAAAGTGCTGTGGTGGGAAAAACAGTAGGGGAAGATCCGGGGTGAGGAGGAGTCTTCAGTTTTAAGTGGGGTGCTCGGAGTAGGCATTACCGAGAAGGGGATATGTGAGCAGGGACTTGAACTGGGTGAGGGATTGAGCCATGCGGATATCTGGGGAAGAGTGCTCTGGCAGAGGGAATGGGCAGTGCAAAGGCCCTGTGGAATAGTGAGTGGCTTGTGGATTGGGTAGGGCCTTGCAGGCTGTTTTAAGAACTGACTTTTAACTAAGTGAGATGGGAGTTGTGGGAGGGTGTGGAGCAGAGGAGGGACATTTCTGAGCTTCTTAAAGCATCACTCTGATGGCTCGGTGAGAACGGACTGGAGAGATCAGTCAGGAAGCTGTTGCTATAGCCTAGGTGAGAGGCAGTGGTGGGCCCAAGCAGAGTGGTTGCCACAGAGGTGGTGGAAGTGGTCAGTACCTGCCTGAATTTTGAGGGTAAGTCCAGAAGGCTGTGTTAACAGATTGGGGGTAGGATGTCAGAGAAAGAAAAGAAGTGTGCCAGATGTGGTGGTGCATGCCTGTAGTCCTAGTCACTCGGGAAGCTGAGGCAGGAAGATTGAGCCCAGGAATTTGAGTCCAGTTTTGGGCAACGTAGTGAGACCCTATTTAAAAATAAAAGAAAGAAAACAAGCAAGAATGACCACAGAGTTTGTGACTTGAGCCATTAGAAGGATGGAGTTGCCATCACCTGTAATGGGAGGGACTAAAAAGCGCCGTTTACTCACAGGGGAAGGTCCCCAATTCAGACTTAGGTGCCTGAAGTCCAAGCTGCCTGTCTGATACCCCAGTGGAAATGCTGAGTGAGCTGCTGGCTGCATGAGTCTGGAAGTCGGCAGAGGTGAGGGCTGGCAGTGTACTCCAGGGAACAGTTGGCATGGAGATGGCACTGAGAGCTGGGAGACTGGATGCAATCACCACAGAGGGTTTAGGGCTTGCTAGAGCTCACAGGCAATTCAGGGAGCGCCTGATAGACCATTCTGCTCTCACCTTTTTTACAAATCTCTGGATCAGTTTGACACTTTTTTGTTTTTTTGAGATGGAGTCCCGCTTGTGTCGTCTAGGCTGGAATGCAGTGGCACGATCTCGGCTCTCTGCAACCTCCAACTCCCGGGTTCAAGCGACTATCTTGCCTCAGCCTCCCGAGTAGCTAGGATTATAGGCACCTACCACCATACCCAGCTAATTTTTTTTTTGTATTTTTAGTAGAGGCGGGGTTTCACCATGTTGGCCAGGCTGGTCTCGAACTCCTGACCTCAGGTGATCCACCCGCCTCAGCCTTCCAAAGTGTTGGATTACAGGCGTGAGCCACCGCGCCTGGCCTACTTTTTTTACTGACTCCCCCACCCCTAACCGTCTCAATGCTGTGTATCGCTGAAGGGGACATTTCTGTGAGGTCTGCTTGGGAGAAGGAAGCCTGTCGTCCTGCTCTCATGAGCCATGGTGAGCCGAAGGGAGGGAGCCTCTGGACCCACCAGCAGTGTCTTGAGGCTGTCATTTTCAGCACCTCTAACAGTGTCACCTCTATCTGTATCTCAGAAAACACTGAAGGCACGGTTGAAGTGAACTTCCATTAACTTTGAAGATAGGCTGTCTACTGTAAGGAAATGATAGGGTGGACAGAGTGGGGAGATACTACTCTGTTGCGCCATTAGGAACTTCAGAAAGGTTGGATGCCAAATACCTGAGGGAGTTCTGGTTATGGGCAGACCTTTTTTTCCGGCACCTGGTCTGGCCTGAACTAGGTTGGTCCTGCAGCACTTCCTTTCAAGAGTTTCCAGAAGGCCCCAGTGGCTCTAGGTCACCTTGTGGTCCCACTGGATTGGGTGCTGGAGAGGGAAAGTACATAGGCCCTGATACTGGGCCAGTGGAACTGGGTCTTTGAAGAGAACAATTGATAGGACAGAGAGAGGGCACGTGCCGCAGGGAAACCTAGACGTGATCTGGTTTCTTCCGGCTCATTAAACCTGAGACTGGTGTCCATGCCCTAGGCCAGCTGTCCTGTCGAGGGAACCTGCTGTTGATTTCATGCCGTCTGGTCACGGCGCCCTCTGTTTTGACAGCAGCCTCTCCTGCTTGAGGTCAGTGAGGGCCTCTTTGGCCTCAAGTTGCAGAACAGGAAGAGGAAGCTCAGTGACTTCTTCCCCGTGGAAGAACTTCTTCCCCTTGGCCCATCACCAGGGGGCGCAGCCCACCAAACGTGGAAAATAGAGGAGCCTGTGAATGCAGAAAGGAGAACTGACTGCTCATACTCCCAGAACAGCTTTTTAAATGTCAGCATATTACCTTTTTTTCTGTGTCTATACACAACTGTGACTTTTTAAGAATTTTGATCATACTGATTACATGTGAACTTACAAACTTTTCTGAAAAACCACATTTTTCTCAAAAAATGAACAGTAAAAAACCCTGCCTCAGAGTTCAAGACCAGCCCGGCCAACTGGTAAAACCCTGTCTCTACTAAAAACACAAAAGTTAGCTGGGTGTCATGGCACATGCCTGCAATCCCAGCTACTTGGGAGGCTGAGGCAGGAGAATTGCTTGAATCTGGGAGACGGAGGCTGCAGTGAGCTGAGATTGCACCATTGCACTCCAACCTGGGTGACACAGGGAGACTCCGTCTCAAACAAACCCTGCCTCATGGGTTGCAGATAGGCATTACCAATGATGTGCATGTGCTGTACCTGCAGACTCTGCTTCCCTTAGTGGAACCCTCAGGGCTCTAGAGGTTTCTGGCCTATGCTGGGATGTGATCGTTGGGACCATGTTACAAGTACCAGAAATGTGAGAATTTGAGGAGGAAATCTGTTCTGACTTAGGCTAGCTTGGCCAGGAGATACCCTATGCAAATGATGTGTTCTGATCCTGTATCTCCCAGTCCTGCAGGGCATCCAGGATCACTTTTCTTCTTCATCTCCCCACCAGGCTGGGCATCCTCCCTGAGGCATCTGAGTTTGATTCCTGTCCCTCTCAGGTCTCTGTTCTTTCTAACCCCTGTCCCTGCCTTCTCCAGAGGTTCAAGACTCTGGACTCTGTTGTGTGCTCTCCTAGGTCAAGGCTGTTAGTCTTGCCTTCCCTTCATAGCCAGCCCCTGCCTGGGCCTCACTTCATCAGGGGCAAAGACACGAACCTTGGAAAGAAGGTGCTTCCCAGGTTCTAATTTCTCTGTTAGAGGACGCTAATGGTCATTCCAATTATGGGCATGATCTCTTTCCTTATGCTGTTGGTGTTGTGCTTTATTTTGGCTTTTGCTCAAAGGAGGATTCTGGAGCCGAGAAGGAGAACACCTCTGTCTTGCAGCAGAACCCCTCCTTGTCGGGAAGCCGGAATGGGGAGGAGAACATCATCGATAACCCTTATCTGCGGCCCGTGAAGAAGCCCAAGATCCGCAGGAAGAAGTGAGTCGGAGGCTGGGGTCCAGAGAGCCTTCATTGTCCCATCGAGGTGATCTTCTCTGCTCCTTGGTAGAAAAGAGTCTCCTCAGTGGGGCTGAGCCTTGGGGAGAGCCACTTTGGTGAGAGGGAATAGTCTCCCTTTTCCTGTCTTACTTGGCTCCCGTACATAGCTCTCGTTCCTTAGTGGTTGAGTGTCCTGCAGTCTAGGGACCAACCCTCACAGCACTGGAGCTGTTTTCCCCTAGAAGGAGAGCAGACAGGGACCCCACCAGGAGGCTCCATGGTTCCTCTTCTTTCTAGGTCCCTCTCCTGAGCTGAGAAGGAAAACTGGCTTGTACGGGGGCGCAGATTCCACCCTCCCAGGGAGTTAAAGCCACTCAAGGGAAGAAAAGAGGGTGACCTCCTCATGGCCGAGCCAAGGCTGCAGGGTGTGATCGGACATGATTTTCATGGCAAACCATCTATTAAGATGACCTATTTTCACTGGATGTTTGGGTTGAGGAAGATATGAACAGAATAATGAGAAGTTTTTTTTTTTTTTGAGATGGAGTCTCACTCTGTCTCCCAGGCTGGAATGCAGTGGCACGATCTCAGCTAACTGCAGTCTCTGCCTCTCTGGTCTAAGCGATTCTCCTGCCTCGGCCTCCCATGGTAGCTGGGACTAGAGGCAAGCGCCACCATGCTGGCTAATTTTTGTATTTTTAGTAGAGATGGGGTTTCGCCATGTTGGCCAGGCTGGTCTTGAACTCCTGACCTCAAGTGATCCACTTGCCTTGGCCTCCCAAAGTGCTGAGATTACAGGTCTGAGCTACCATGCCCAGCTAATTTTTGTATTTTTAGTAGAGATAAGGTTTAGCCATGTTGGCCAGGCTGGTCTTGAACTCCTGACCTCAAGTGATCCACCTGCCTTGGCCTCCCAAAGTGCTGGGATTACAGGTGTGAGCCACCATGCCCTGCCAGAGACTTTCTTAATCAACCAGGCTATGTGGTGGGGCATAGCAGCAGCCAGTGACTTCGTTCATTATCACGGGATTTGATTCCTTTGAAACTCAGGAGACCAGGGAAAGTGACAGGAAAGAAAGGGCTCTTTGCTGCTGTGCTTATTACAAAGAAGACTGTCCAGCGTGTTCAGGATATCTGGATCCCTCTTATTGACTCATGATTTGTGGCACCACTTTCTCATCCCAGAACTTCATTCTTATTTCTCTCCTCATCTGGCCTCCAAGTATTCCATTGAGCTGATGGAAAGTGACTTTGTACTTCCTCAACGTGTTGGAAACAGGAGGCCACACAGCACAACTTTGATCGGGGCGGGCAGGAGTCATGAGTCTTGAGCACATACGTCACTGTGAAGGAGGACGACATGTCAGGGCTGCACCTGTCCTCCCATCGGCATTTGACGAAAGCTCCCTGAAGTGGGGCAGCACTCTCCTCCGGAGAGATTTGCCATTTATTGCTCCTCTGAGGAATGTGTGCTTGGGAACTGCCAAGTCTTGCCCCTTCTGGAAGAGGATGTTTTCTCTGACAAGAGCCTAGAGCGTCGGCTGTATTGTTCTGGGACTTGATAGAGGAGCCATGGGGTTTAAACACTAGGAAAGAGGGGCCGGGTGCAGTGGCTCATGTCTGTAATCCCAGCACTTTGGGAGGCAAAGGCAGGCGGATCACCTGAGGTCAGGAGTTCGAGACCAGCCTGGCCAACATAGTGAAATTCCATCTCTACTAAAAATACAAAAATTAGCTGGGTGTGGTAGCTCACGCCTGTAATCCCAGCTACTCAGGAGGCTGAGGCAGGAGAATCACTTGAACCTGGGAGGCGGAGGTTACAGTGAGCTGAGATTGTGCCACTGTACTCCAGCCTGGGTGACAGAGCGAGACTCCATTTCAAAAAAATAAAAAATATATAAAGTAAACAATAGGAAAGGATTTGGTGGGGTGAGGGTGCGGTGTTGAGGGCTGGGCCTCATCTTGTATTCTGAAAGCTGAGAAACATGGCTGGTCAGCTGGAAGGCTGGTGGATAGGCAGGAGTGAGCCAAGCTGAGGCGTTCTGCAAGAAGCAGGTCTGAGTCTCTCCAACCACTTTGTATCCTGTGGGGAGAACAACTTCATTCTTAATGTACTCTACAAACCAGAAAACAAGTTTTTAAGGAGGATGCTGGGCATGCTGATATCTTTTCTGGTTTCCTAAGGAAGAGCTTTTAAAACCAAATCCAAGGAAGAAAAATGCAACGACACGTGGAAGTGAATACTGGATGAATAAGCTGTTTCCCAAGTTAGAATCCTAACATCCATATTTAACTTCACTTACTCCTCTTTGGCTTCCACAGTTCAACTCCTTTTATTTTGAGATAGGGTCTTGCTGTGTCGACCCGGCTGGAGTGTAGTGGCGCTACCTCGACTCACTGCACCCTCCACTCCCCAGGTTCAAGCGATTCGCATACCTCAGCCTCCAGAGTAGCTGGGATTACAGGTGCCTGCACCACGCCTGGCTAATTTTGTGTGTGTGTGTATTTTTAGTAGACATAGGATTTTGCTATGTTGCCCAGGCTGGTCTTGAACTCCTGGGCTCAAGTGATCCGCCCGCCTTGGCCTCCCAAAGTGTCAGGATTACAGGCATGAGCCACAGTGCCCAGCCCATCTCTTAATCTTCCATTCCCTTGGTGAATGGGAACTTGAAAAACTTGGGGACTTCACAGCAGGCTCCGTGTTCTTCTGGCCTCACTGTACTGTAAGGAAAGAGCTGCTTGTCAGGAACTGAAGACGGGACGCTAGTAAAAAAAAAAAATCTGGAGTCCCCAACTGGACTAAATAGGAGTTTTCCAGGTTTGTAGTAACCTGAAACTCTCCTAGATCAAAGCAGTTAGACTGGCCTATGTGGCCTTCTCAGGGTTTGTGATTCAGTTCTTAGTGATTCTTGGCCTGATGAGTTTATAAACACAGCCCCACATTCAAGCCGTGGCCAATCCCAGCTTGCTGTTCTCACTGCTCTTGGGAGGCATCGTCCCAGTCAGTGTTTCTACAGTTTCCATTTGTTGTTATTATCCAAAGTAAGCGCCTGTTGAATGCAGTTGTGCTGAGTTACAGGTGGGATTTGGAAAAGGGCTGCTATTTCTGCTGTTGAGATTTCAGAGGCTATACTCTTTTTTTTTTTTGAGACTGCATCTTATTTTTTTTTTTTTTTTTTTTTTTGAGACAGCGTCTCGCTCTTATCACCCAGACCGGAGTGCAATGGCGTGATCTCAGCTCACTGCAACCTCCACCTCCTGGGTTCAAGGGATTCTCCTGCCTCAGCCCGGGATTACAGGCGCCTACCACAACTCTTGGCTAATTTTTTTTTTGTATTTTTGGTGGAGATGGGGTTTCACCAGGTTGGCCAGGGTGGTCTCGAACACCTGACCTCAGGTGATCCACCCACCTCAGCCTCCCAGTGTGGGTAGGATTACAGGCATGAGCCACCGCGCCTGGCCTCAGAGGCTATACTCTTAAAATTTTGTTCTGAGGGGAGACAGGGAAAGGGTTAGACAACTTGAAACATTGACCTGCCTGTTGGTTGTATAAAAATGCATAATTCTCAATGTGTATTTATAAATTTCTATTTTTTATAACTTTATGGGACTTCTTAGAGGCAAAAAGTAGTAAACATGCAGATTAAAAATGTTTATGAAAATCTCAATAAAAATTCATAATAAAAACTTTGTAAATAAATAGAACTGTAAGCTTTGAACTTAATTTGTGTTCAAAAGTTAACAGCGATGTGGACAAATATGTCAGGCTTAGCCCTTGTGTTGGCCTAAGCACACCTGGGAACTTAGTAGAACTTTTATTTTGGAAATTTTCAAATACAAAATTAGCAAAATACGTGAACCCCTGTATATGCCTCTCCAAGCTTCCACACTTATCAATAGCTTGTTGATTCTGTTTCACCTGTTTCTCCCACTTTTTGTCCTTTATTTTCTTTCCTCCTGGAGTATTTTGTGTGTGTGTGTGTGTGTGTGTGTGTGTGTGTGTGTGTGTGTCAGAGTTTCGCTCTTGTTGCCCAGGCTGGAGTGCAATAGTGCAATCTTGGCTCGCTGCAACCTCCGCCTCCTGGGTTCAAATGATTCTCCTGCCTCAGCTTCCTGAGTAGCTGGGATTACAGGTGCTTACCACCATACCTGGCTAATTTTTTATATTTTTATTGGAGATGGGGTTTCACCATGTTGGCCAGACTGGTCTCCAACTCCTGACCTCAGGAGATCCACCCACCTCAGCCTCCTAAAGTGTTGAGGTTATAGGCGTGAGCCATGGCGCCCAGCTCTTGTGGAGTATTTTTGAATGCAAACCCCAGACCTGTGTCATTTAATCTGTAAATGTGTCTGTATGTATCTCTGATTGATCTTTCTTTAAATTTTAATTTTGGAATAATAGATTCACAAGATGTTGCAAAAAATGTTCAGAAAGATCCTATGTACCCATCACCCACTTTCTCCCAGTGGTAGCATCTTGCGTAACTGTGGTGCAATATCAAAACCCTTGCATTCAGTTTCAGTGTACAATGTGGATTGTATATTAGTACAATCCATAGAGCTTATTTAGTTTTCACCATGTGCACGTGTGTGTGTTATGTGTGTGTTCTGTGCAGTGTCGTCATGTAGATTTGTGTAACCACCACCACACAAATGGTGAAGACACAGAGCCATTGAATCAGTACAGTTCTCCCTCATGCTGTCTCTTCACAACCACATCCACCTCTCTGCTCTTCCACATCTCTCCTGCAAGCCGGCTTCCAGTGACCCGAGATCGCCCGCACCAGCGGCACCAGAGCCGAGCACTCCCTTCTCAAAAAAAAAAAAATTAGCCGGGCGTGGCTGCCATGCCTGATCCCAGCTCACTTGGGAAGCTGAGGCAACGGAGAATTGCTTAACCCATGGCCAGTCAGGAGGGTTTGGCAATCGAGATTGCGCCATTTGCACTCCAGCCCTGGCAACAAAATGAAACACCATCTCAAAAACAAGAATAAAATATAAAAGCTGCTCCTCATGACCAATATGAAGAAATATAGTAAAAAGCGAATACTAATTGAGAACTGAACTCTGTCATCCCTTCCTAAGTTTTTAACCACATAGGACTGCATGATCCTCACAGTACCTGAAAGCAAATCCTTGACCATCCATCGTCGTTGCAAGTTGAGGAAATGAGGGCGGAGAGTCGGTACCAAGTCAAGTCCACCTGGCCGCTGATAGCCCAGCTGCTATTCGCCCAGGCAATTCCCTGCTCCAGACCGAACTGGCACTGTTTCCCTCACAACCCTCGTTCGTCGCTTCTGAGCCTACGTGGCATGACACTGCCGTGTGCAAGCAATCCACCCCACCCACCTGCATTCACCTGGCCCTGTGGGTGGGAGAGAAACGGGAGCCACCTAACGAAATGAACCAGTAAGAAGGGTGAATGTGCAGCTCGGCCACCGGTCGGCTCAATGCCGTAAATCTCGCACTTTGGAGGCCCAAGCAGGTGGAGTCACGAAGTCAGGATTGGACCCAGCCTCCCAACATGGGAAAACCCTGGTCCTCTACTCCAAAAATACAAAAATAGCCAGGCATGGTGGTGCCCGCCTTAACTC